TKGGTATATTATGTTGAACAGGTACAAGTGATTCTTAAAAACAAGYGTCAGCAAACAGTAGTCGCACACAGAAAAACGATTTCATCTATAGCAACAGCAGTGGTGATCTATAACAACAACAACAATAAYAATAACAATTATAATAACGACAAAAAATGGACGACCGATATCGCGACGCGGCCGTTTTGCTGGCGTTCGGTCTGTTGGCCGGTTGCGGTGCAATCGTTTATCCAGCCGATCGTCAGCTCGAAACTAGCACGGTCCAAGGCGCCCGGACCGACCGCCGAACACCCAGGGACATGCGAGAGCAGAAAACCGACGGCCAGGGGTTTGACATGTTGTCGGCTGGGCTCAAGACCACCGGCCACAAGTGGTCGTCGGACGATTACCAAACGCTGTCGTCGCTGCAGCAGACTGCCGACGACGGTCCGGCGCCGGTCACCGCGAAGGTCGACGTCTATCCGGCGCTAACGACAGACTCGACGCCGTTYGTCACACGGAGTCGGTACGTCAGCAACCACCTGCACCCGCCTTACCTGCATCATCTGTACGGTGGCGGCATGAACATCCAACAAGAAACCACCGACCCGGAAGACCAGCGTTCGGAGTATTCGGCGGCAAGATGGAACAGGTGCATATACCAACCTCATACACGTTTAATCTGAATTTTAAATTTATTTTAGTGTCGCATTAGAATAGATATCACGATTCGCCTGTTATCCTCTATTTCAGCGGTTCTCAACCTGTGACACGCGGAAAGCTCATAGGTGGTACGCGAAGAAAATCTGCTTCTTTAAAAAATTAATTTATCAATAAAATTCTATACAATATATAACAAAAACGTATACATTATTAATAAGCAAAAAAATGGTCAGGTGGAACGTAAAAATTTTCAAATTGTGTAGGCGGTAAGTGACTATAAAAAGGTTGAAAACCGCTGCGCTCTATTCGATCAAATGTTTAGATTATAATATTAAAACACTCATAAAGCGAAGCACTAAGACGTTAGGTAGACTTGTTATGTAGGTACAAAAGTCATACGTAATATGGAACGCATTTTAATATTTAAAATGAATTTTAACTCATCAGCATATTATATTGCTCAAGATTAATGTGGTAGTATGTTGTTGATTTCATAATAAATTAATAAAAAAAATTAAGTAAAATTTACCGAAAATTTTTTATGGTGAAATTTCCATCGCTAATAGTTATGATATATTATAACATGTTTTTACGATTTATAATGGTATAAAGGGTAAAGACGTTATAATAATATATTTTATTGTTGAGTTAACCGTAAAATAACAGTCTGTTTAATTAACGGGGTTATGTACATACAGTGTTTGGAAACTTGTGTTGTAATAATGCTGGTGAGTGGTGAGAATATTGTTTTAACAACACAATATTTAATTATCAAAACAGAGCGATATATTATATAGTGTTTATAGATGCATAAGCATATTCGTCAATGCATATTCAGTTTATTCATTTTTAGTTCGTATATTACAATATTATAATTCTATATTTAAGTTACARACAAGTAGCACAATCATACACTGATAAATAATAAGTACCCACCTACATATATTATTATGACTATTCAATATATAATAATAATAATAAATAAATACAGTCTCAAAAAAGATCACTCTAYGCAATATTAGTCGTTTATCATTTAATAAATCAAATAATTTTTCAATTAACAAAATAATAATATAATACAACTAGTGGTTGCC